ACATTTGTTTTACCTCAAAAGTACAGTTTTTAAATTAAATGTTTCTGAAACAGCAAGTTTCTCAGTGGATCTGTGATCAAAAATACAGCCTAGGTGGAGTAGTCGAACACAGATCCACTGATCCTTCAACACAGAGCATCTTCAGAAGACAAGTTGATAAAGTAAATTTTAAAAATCTGTATTGTTCCATACATGTGCGTATTGAACCTAAAGAACTGTTTGATACGGTTCAACTAGGATAAACATTATGTCTAAATGCCGTTTAAATGTTTCACAACATAAAATTTCAATGTTCATGCGTTTTGAAAATAAAACTATGAATGTTTAGTCATCTGAATATAAAACTATTTTATGATTAATCAAACTGGAGAAATTTTCTCTGTATTTGGTGGACTGGTTGTAAAACATAAGGAAAAGAGGTTCTTAAAAACCATTAAAATAATGCAATATTTGAAAGTTTTATAAAACATAATATAAATAAGGGAGTATTCAGGCTACACGCAGGACATTGTGACGCTAGCAGTGGATGCATCAATACAAGAACACAATATTTTTCCAAAAGTACATCTGAGTAAACGACCAACATGACAACAACACTTGTTTTTCTGCAGCACTTTTCTGCAGATATGTGCAGGGGGAGAGCTGGAAGACGAACCATGCAGATTAAATAAAGAGCACAGAGACGCTGCAGGACACAAACGGACCGGTGAGTTTCCAACCAGAAGGACCGTGAGGCCTGACAGGGCCGAGGGATGAGGGAGGAATGAGGAAAAACAAAGAGTGGAAACAAAATACCTCCTGGGCTGTCTGCCTCCATCTCAGCCTCACCACTGCCTGCTGCCTGCATTTCTTTCATAAACGGTTTCTCCTGCACATCTAGAAACAGGACGTTGGTTTGGAGGTTTGCAGACGACAACACATGGACACAACATGGCAGCAAAGAGTGAGACCAAAGTTTTAAACCAGTTCAGATCCTGAAGAGTGAACCCATGTGATGTTAAACTCAATATCTGTGTCAGGATTGAAAAAAAAGCTATGCTCTACGCTTCGCCCTGAATACACCATATACGGAAATATCTGTTGGAGACACAATACCTGAACTCTGTGGTGGGCACCAGTCCACTAAAGCACAAATCCACTCATTGTGGACCTAAATATTTTGTTTGCGCTTTAGTGGTCTTTTTAATTTTTATAATTCATAAGCAGATTTGCACTTTCTAAAATTAAAATGCAGYACYRCTRATAACTAATTATCTACCAGTCATCATTATGTTGAACAGCAGAAGGTATGACTGTCAATGAATCACAACATGTGATCTATCCAACAGCNTCCATCCATCCTTCCATCCAACCATCAGTTTAGTTGTGTATTTAACTCACTCGTTCTCCAGCAGGGTCATGGAGACCACCTCCCGGACCCCCGGGTTGTTGGCCTTGTCGCAGGAGCAGCCCTGCAGGCTCCAGGACCCGAGGCGCACCACGGGCTTCCCGTCCCGCAGCCCGAGCAGCGGCTCCACCTGCGGCCTCACACAGGTCATGTGGGTCGGACCCCCTGGCGGGAGGTCRAAGTCCTCACTGCTGAGACTGAAGGTGGGACTGGAGTAAACCTTAGTGGTCCCGTTAGGTCCTCCGTTAGTGGTGGAGGGCGCCCTGGAGCGCTGCACGTAGACCTGGAAGCGGATCCTGTCCAGCAGGGAGCTGTTGATGTTGTTGACCCGGACCAGGTCCTCGATGCTCCTGAAGGGTCCGTGCTCAGTCCTGTAGGCCACTATGTTGTGGACCAGCTTCTCCGTCAGAGCCCGGACGCTGAGCAGCTGTGCCGGGGTGGCGGTGTTGATGTTGATCCCGGACCCGGTGCTGGGCTCCTGCTCTCTGCACAGCAGGGAGGGGGAGTGCTGGGAAGACCCCGTCCTGCTGGACACGCAGATCTCCAGCTTGATGGCCTCCAGCTTGGTGGCCCCGACCCCGCTCACCAGAGCCAGGTCCTCCACCTTCCTGAAGCCGCCGATGCGGTCCCGGTACTGCACGATGTTGTGCGCCACGGCGCGGCTGACCCCCGGCAGCGTCATCAGCTCCTCCTCGGTGGCCGTGTTGATGTTGAGCCGCTCCTGCAGGACCAGGATGTTGCTGAAGTTACAGGCGGCGCTGAATTTACGCTTCCTGCCGCCCAGGTCCGCGGGGTCTCTGGGGATGGAGCGGTGGCAGCTCAGGGTCCCACCCATGGCTCCGGGACTGGAGTCCYGGCAGCAGAGCGGGGGACAGATCCAGAGTCCGCAGCCTGCGCTCTGACAGAGGACATCCAGCTGTCCTCCTGTCTGCGTGTCCTGAAACACAGATCAGACAAACCAACCTTTGTCCTGCGTGTCGGTCCACACACAGGTGTTCAGGTCAGGGCGGGGCGGGTCGTTAGGATCGATACCAGCTTTGGTCTCCGACTCGGATCGATACTTTTCAGCTGTTTCTGATCTGTAGGCCCTCCTCTGGTCTGCAGACACGCCCCTCCCAGCTCTGTTGTGTCACGTGACTCTGCGCCTGCGCACTGCAAGTAGGGGGCTCTGCGGACGAGTGGGCGTGTCCCAACGAAAGGCGATTCTAAAGCGACACACCTGATTTGAC